AATGATTGTGAGAAGAGAAACAAAAATTTGGAAATTCCGAGGGTTCCCGAAGAAGGCAAGAATTTTGTTCAATTCAAGGACTTTAAGTACAAAGAGAAGGTTCCTTTTATTGTTTATGCCGACACGGAATGTTTTTTGGTTCCCGAATGTGATAAATCAGCATCCGACACCGAGAAGTATCAGCGCCATGTTCCGTACTCTCTGGGCTATTATTTTAAATGTTCATATGACGACTCCCTTTCATATTATCGGTCGTACACGGGAGAGGATTGTGCGGAATGGTTCTGCAATGAGATGGAACAATTAGCTGAGAACATTGAGACGGTATTCTTGTGTGATATATCAATGGATGAACTAACAGCTGGACAAAAAATGGAATTTTACAAGTCTAAATTGTGTCACATATGCGAGAAGGTGTTTGAAAAAGACGACAAAAAAGTTCGAGACCATTGTCACCTGACTGGGAAATACAGGGGACCCGCACACGAAAATTGTAATCTCCAATTTAGGGATGGTCACACCGTTCCCGTAGTATTTCATAATCTTTCGTCGTATGACGGAAATATAATAATAAAAGCTCTAGCCAAATGTGATGGGTCGATCGACTTGCTACCTGTAAACAAGGAAAAGTATATTTCCTTTACGTGGCACCTAAATGACAACCTGGTGAAATTCCGATTCATCGACAGTTTTCGATTTATGTCGAGTGGCCTGGATAAGCTGGCGGCTAATTTAACGGAATATCCAATACTGGAGCTCGAATTTAGTGAATTGTCGGAGGAGCAAGCCAATATATTGAAACAAAAAGGCGTTTTCCCCTACGATTATATGAATGGATGGAATACGTTGAAAGAAACTGTTTTGCCTCCTATTTCGGCATTTTATAACATATTGGATGACAAACCGTTGACCAAAAAAGATTACAAACGTGCTCAGGAAGTCTGGGAGAAATTTGGATGTCGAAATTTGCAGGATTATTCTGAACTTTATATGAAGACGGACATCCTGCTCTTGGCAGACGTTTTTGAGAGGTTTCGAGAAACGTCACATAAGACCTATGGACTTGATCCTGCACATGCGTACACACTGCCGGGATACGCGTGGAGCTGTATGTTGTATAAATTGAAGCAAAAACTCGATCTACTCACTGACGTCGACATGATTTTGTTTATCGAGAAAGGAATGCGAGGAGGCCTTAGTCAGTGCTCCAAACGATATGCGGAAGCCAACAACAAATATATGCACAGCTACGATCCCTCCAAAGTTGATAAATACTTGATGTATTTCGACGTCAATAACCAATACGGGTGGGCAATGTCTCAATACCTACCGTACGGAGGTTTTAATTGGTTGGATGAACAGCAAATCGAAAATCTTGACATTTTAAATATATCCAACGAGTCGGACGTCGGCTACATCTTGGAGGTCGATTTGGAAATACCCAAGGAGTTGCACGACAAATTTGCAGATTTACCTCCATGTCCCGAACATCGCTGCCCTCCAGGATCCGAAAATCAAAAATTACTGACCACCTTATACGACAAACAGGAGTATGTCATTCACTATCGTAATCTGAAACAGGCGCTACAACTGGGAGCTAAGTTAAGAAAGGTACATCGAGCCGTCTCGTTCAGCCAGTCGCCTTGGTTAAAAGCCTATATCGACCTAAACATTGCACTACGTCAGGCTGCCAAAAACGAGTTTGAAAAGAACTTGTTTAAATTGATGATCAATGCTGTGTTTGGAAAAACAATGGAAAACATACGGAACCATTCCAAAGTTAAGCTTGTGAAAAACTGGCAAGGTCGCTACGGTGCGGAAGCTCTGATTGCCCGACCCGAATTTAAAAGTGCAACTATAATTAGTAAAAATCTCGTTCTTATTGAATTAAAAAAATCTGAAATATATTTTAACAAACCTATCTACGTTGGGATGTCAATTATGGAGATAGCCAAGACAACAATTTATGACTTTCACTACAACTACATTCAAGAAAGATTTTCCAATTCCCGAGTTTTATATACCGACACGGATTCTCTTGTTTACGAGATATTATCCATAGACCCGTACGAGATTTTAAAAAAGGATTGTTTCCGGTATTTTGATACATCGGACTATGCGGAGGATAATCCGTACGGTATACCCACAGTCAATAAAAAGGTTCTGGGTATGATGAAGGATGAGAACAATGGACGAATTATGTCTCATTTTATCGGACTTAGAGCTAAAATGTACGCCACAAAGCTATACAAGACACCGGAGGAAGAGGAGTCCGCAAAACAAGAATTGATGGCTGCAGAAACAGATCGAGAAGCATTTGAACGTGAATTTAAAAACTTGGGTGTAACGAAGAGGATCAAAGGAGTTAAAAAATCCTTCATCAAAACTAAGATAACTTTTGAAGATTTCGTCGATTGTTTGCAAAATTTCGCTGAAAAAAACATATCGCAGAATTTAATAAGAGCGAGCAAACTGGAGTTGCACACAGTATCCCAAAAGAAGATCGGGTTAAGTCCTTGCGATGATAAACGTCGCATATCAAAGTCGTCAGTAGAAACGTTACCGTGGGGTCACTATTCGATTATGGAAGAAGAAACTGTCTCCGCTTGATTATAAATGTGTTTTCGGTTTTGCTTTGAAATTTCGTTTTTTTCCTAAAAAAATCGAATGAGGTGCGCTTAAGGGCTCAGTTCGCGTCTGGCAGCCTCGTTAAATTTTTATTTTAAAAATGCATTAAATATTTTGATCTTTTTCATTATATTTTGGGCATATTTAGAATAAAAATGACCGGAAGTCCTTAATATTTTTCGCTTATTACCTCCAACTACTTTTATTATATTTTCCACTGTCAATAAACAGTTTGACTCCTGTAAATTTGGTTTTTAATTTTGCAACTAACCAGTACCTATAGTACGTGTCTACCGTTAACAGCAAACAGACGACCGATTTGCAAAATGCCTAGTTTGAAAAAGTGTTTATCAATCTAGAAGACATTTATTTAAAGATTAAATGTGCTATTGGATTCAATTTTTCAATATATTCAACTTTATCTCGAACCAATTTGCGATGTCAATGCCTCGCAACCGCAGATAAGAGACTACGGTGCGGTGATATCCTAGTGGGCGGATGGATCGCCTTTGCTTTTAAGGCGCAAAATATATTTGCGTGTGCTATCAGTAATTTTGTTGGGTGTTAATTTTTTTTGCCAAATTACGTCAAGTGAAAGTCGACACGCTTTAAAATTGCATGCGGGAGACTGCACGTCCGAGGCGGTTGTGCGTCAAGTCGTTCCCGTCTGAGCACGTGGACCTTGAGACTCCCACCTGCATGGCTCTCTGGTGACAACATACGTTCAGCGTGTTTATTCAAATATGCGTTTGTGTGCCTTTCGATTTTTAAGTCAATTTTTAATTTTTAATTTAACCATGGACGGGAGAACATGTGAATAAATATATTTAATGTGTATTGTAGACTATATTCAGTGCAATGTCAAGTGCGGTATCTATTTCCCTATGACTCTACAACTGATAAGTTTTATGATTTTAATTTACCCTAATACAGTGCGAGTCTTTTTTTTTGTTTTGTTTTTGTGGGTTTCAGTTTTCGTTAATTTTCTCAGTGATTTTTGAATAACAAAAAAAAACAATGATCACTTTTTTGGTCAGTTCCTACCTGTTTTTACAATATAATAATCCACTTTTTACGTTGCATAATAATCGAATTAAATTGAAATATATAGTGTTTTTTAAATATCCTTTAAATGACAGGGAATAGAAATGTGACTTTACTTACGTCACTTACTAAAAGTTTTGTTTAAAAAATCTGTTTTATAGGCAACGCGACATATACATATTTTGTTTCTTGTTTGTTCTAGAAAAAACACGATTTCTCCGTTTGACAATAATCCGCGTTTTTACTTGTAAAAATAATCAAATTAAATTGAAGTATATAGTGTTTTTAATGTCTTTTAAATGACAAGAAGTAGAAATGTGAATGTTGGTATGTGTGTGCAACTTTCACACACATTATGTTGGCGCATCCAGCAGGGTGGGTGGTCGACAGAGGGAGACGGTGAGGAGTGTATTTCCTATATAGATTTCTTGAAAGAACGGGAACAAGAACGTCATCAGCAGGAACATCGTTTATGGACGACAAAGTGGACGCAAAAGAAGAAGAAGAAGACCCTTCTGGATAAATATTTGTTATTGTATATAGTTTTCTTTAATTAAACTTGAACACACCGGGTGTACCTGATTATTAAGGCACTATGTATAACTCACTCGACTTGTTTACCGTCGATCCTATACTCCCGATCACCGCGTCATCCCGTCCTAGCGTCTCCGTCACCTGCCGGGGTGACGCAGCCGCTGATAGGAATACTGTCAAGAGCGCGCACGCACGACATCTAGCAGCAACGAGACGGAACCGGCGGTACATAATTAGCTCGGCATTAAAGTGACCGTTCAACGACGGACGAATTTCGGGTTCGATCTTCGGCAGGAATAAGATGAGTCATCATTCTCGAGATCAAACACATAATTACACATTGGTTTTAATATGCTCGTTAGCTCGGCGTTAAAGTCTGCGGTCGACAAGCGACGGATCCCGGGTTCGATCCTCGGTAGACGCGAAAAAAAGGTGAGTCACCTGACTAACACATCTGTTGAGTGGTTGTGAGAGGGTTGTGAAATGGGGGTGTGAGGGTTGGGGGGGTGGTGGGGGGTGACGGTTGTGGGAGGGTTTGAGAGGGGTTGCGGGAGGGGGTTGGGGTTGAGGGAGACGGTTAGTTGGTGCTAAGAGGGTATGGATCGAATGACCTTGACCGGGACCAATTTCAACTACAATGAACCTTAAATTTTCTTATGGGAATTTACGTGTAAAAACGGCCGAAATTGCTGTTGAACGCAGGTATTATATCTACTATCGCTGATAGCGCACACGACCTACAACAACCTGTCAATAAGGTAGGAGGGCAGAGCAAATCATTGGGCTTAAATGTCTACAGAAAAAAAGATTACCGCCGGAACACACACACCTTAATATTGTCCCCAATGGGCATAGAAAGGTAGATAACACGAAATAAAATAAATTGTAAACAAAGATGGTGTTTATATACGTCGCACGTAGGTTTTAAAATGGTAACGAAAATGTATTCTTTACCATTATAAAACTTATTTATGGTTTAAAAAGGTAACGGCAAGATTTTGGTTGCAAATAAATGGAGAGTTAAAGGTTTATATGAGACTAAAACTTGGTAAATGTTATCTTTATAAAATTCTCCAGTCAAATGCAATAAGACTTTTATAATAGTAACCAAAACGTTTCGCGCTTAGGTTTCATAAAAAAGGTAATTGAAACGTAACCGCTCCTATTATTTAAAAAAAAATGTTAGTTGAAGAAAAAATTAAATGGCACGCTCAACAACATCGAATTCTCGACGGTTACCTTAACTTGCCCGTGCTGCCTTCGCTGAACTCGATTTGCTTTTTGGCCTCCTCGAGGAGATCCGCCACAGTTCCGTTCTTGTTTGGATACAAAACCAATTCCTTTTCCTCTTTCATGTTGGCGCCAAGGTAAATACACTTATATTGCTTTTTATTCTCCAACTCGTTGACGCGGATACTGAGCTGCTGGTAGAATATCTTTTTCGGCAGTTTCGGCTTGCTGAACAGCAGCAGGTCTTTCAGAGTGCCTTCGAAAGTGCACCGCAACGCGTTACCCGGACTATCTTTATAGCTGAAAACGAGACGGTAATCGCTTTGAAGACGACGACCAGGACCGTGAGTACCTTTGGCATTTGAAAAATTGCAACAGGTACGGGTCGGTTCCGACACGCTGGGCGACGGCCCGCGCGAACTGATCGTAGGTCATTCGTTGGGATAATTCCATCGTAAAGCCTTGATCGTTCGGTATCGTTTTATCGACAAACGTGACCTCGACGCGGTAAAATAAGTCTTTGTAGTAATCCATACAAGTCGGCAGGTCCGATTGCACTTCCCCTTCATCTTTTTCGAAAATTATGATATCGCCGTCCATCAGCTCTTCCAATACCTACGAGATTATGTGCGAAATAAATAAGGCACTTTCGCGAGACACAAAAATTAATTATTCAACTTGGCTTATAAACTTAGAAGCTCATAAACGCTACTATATTAGTCTTCCCTAATGACATCCTATTGGATAAAATAAAAGTTTACATGGATAAGTTGCCCCACTATCCCTATATGTATTATCCAAATCCATTAATCAACGAAAGCATGTGTGTGTAAAGCATATCATCTTGGCTTTTGGTGACTGGACCAGTCGGTATTGTACGACAGAACATCAGAAACCAACTTCTAAGATGTTTTAAATATATAAAATTAAATAGTATACTTACATTAGTTACACATAATTACCTAAATAAGTACGTTTTTATTGAAAATCTAATTCTGTTTCACTCATTAAGATTAATTACAATGAGTTCCATATTATTATTTTGTATGCAAAATTTACGAACCGGCAATTTTTAGAATGTGCTGATACTGCATTCTTTCAACTCTCAACAAGTGTATTATTAATTAGATTTTTAATTAAAACTTAAAATATTTGATTTTACTTGGTGCCACAAATGTTCTATGGGGTTGAATATACAAAGATAAGGAGGAAATATGCCCCACCTGATCACATAAATTATCACATACATATTGTTTTTTAATAGCATACGAATTTAACACTTCCAAAAGTTGCCCTTTCTCGTAACTGGATTTAAAATAAACATCATTTTATAACAAATATTATTGAAATTCAGTTTTTATACTGGATGAATTTGATGCTTTTTGTTGGAGACTGTTGTGTTATCTATTACAGTGACACTGTTCGGAATAAAGATAATTTTGAAACCAGTTTTTAAAAAGTTCTGCCACTTGCACCTTTACGATAGTCCAAGCTAGAGTCATTAACAAGCAAACAACAAGCAGATTGGAATCAGCCTCTCCTCTGATCCGAGGTGAATTTTGGTGACGTTAAATGTGCTTTTGTCTGACAGTATGTGACTGTATATCAAATCAAGTTTCATCTATGTAAATTATACATGTTTTCGGAATTATGTTTTTTAATTTTCTGAAGGTGCTTAATTTCCAGTACATACATAACAAATAACTCTAGTTCTTTTTCAGTTTATCCAGAGCAGCAACAATTGGAATGGTTTTGATAAAAGGGATATATTTTCCTTCTTATAATATTTATAATATATTATACTATATTATCGAGGATATCGGCGTATTTGGAAATAGGTAAGTTTCTTTTAAAGCTGCTTGTTTAATGAAGCCTCTTCATACACATTTTTCACAAAACGCTTTGCATCTAATGACAAGCGAAACCGACGAAACTGAAAATTTATGGATACACTCGTAAGAAGCTTCTTCAAAAACAGGATATTCAAAACTGCGACCGATATCAGCCGACACATGGTCGACATCAACCTAACTCACCCTTTTCTTGTCGTTTACTTATGTTTAAATTATTTATTGTTGGCTTTACCTAGTAACAATAGGTATAAATTAATTACTTTTTGGGGAAGAGTCCTTCTAAAGTCAAGACAATATATTTTGATACACACCATACCTAGGATGTTAAATACTATTGCCAACAGAAACATCGCATCAGTTCGGATATGAGGCGTTTACAAATAGTTTCGATGATAAAGTGGAATATTTCACAGTCAAATATGTGACTATGTAAGACTCGGCGTTTAAAAATAATTGTCAATAACACCACTGTTTACACAATAAAAATTAAACATTCCTAAAAAAACTCACTTAACTCTTAGTTGACTTGTTACCAAGTTGTACT